CCAAGCCCCCAGGTGCTGACCAATACATGGGAGTTCTTTGACATGGAAGGGCACTTGCTGGTCTTGTAGCGGTAGGTCCGAAATTTGAAGGTATAACCTTGGCACTACTACGAGCGTGCAAAATCAGGAAGGGGGGGGGAGGGCGCATGGTATGAAGCTTTTGATAAAACACGACTTTGCAAGCCAGGGTACCAATCTAGGGAACAGGCTTGTCTGGTTGCACCCTGCGACTCGTCTAAAACTTTTTCGCCAGGGTACCATTTGGACCTCTTCGTGCGCGGAGCACTGACTCTTCCCGTCTGCGCTGTTCTGGGCTTGCCACTGTCCGTGGCTTCCACCGTGCCCAGCATCACGCACGTGATCTCCCTGACCACGTATGAGGTGAAGCAGCTGCCAGAGGGGGAGCGTAAGGTCCCGACCAAGGTGGTGGAACAACGCGCGACCAACTTCTTGATCCATGTTTTTGGGTTGTCCTTTGGGATCTTTTGTAACTTCTGCCATTATGTTCTAGAGAACCATAATAGTAGATAAATGTCTTCACAGGACTTCAAGGACAACCTAGGTGCTCATCGGATGTGCGCTGTTCCTGGCCCCAGTGCTGAAGTTCCTGCCGCGGGCCGTGCTGCAGGGCGTCTTCTTCTACATGGGTATCGCCTCCCTGACTGGCAACAACCTCTTTGACCGACTCTTCCTGTGGCTCATCTGGGACTCGGCCAAGTACCCGCAGTACCACTACATCCGGAAGCTGCCCATCAGCCGCGTCCACCTCTACACCTTTGTGCAGCTGATCTGCTTGGCAATCCTCTACGGCTTGAAAGCAATCAAGGAAACTTGACTGATGTCTAGGACCTCGTCAACCTGACGTCTTTTTTTCTCAAACGGCCTGAAAGCAATCAAGGAAACTTCTGTTGTTTTCCCCTTCTTCATGGCCTCCCTGGCCATCATCCGCAAGGCCCACAGCCCAGCAGCCCGTTTATACTTCCAAGTTTCGTCTCGTCTCTGTGAGACCCCCGTCCCTGCAGGGCCTGCGCTGGATGTTCACCGAGGAGGAGCTGCGGCTGCTTGACAGCCTGCCGGACGAGGACGACGACGGCGAGGTGGGAATGTTCTGTGCCCGTCTCCTCCCGGACAACCCATCCAGATTCTCACCACGAACGTAACGCTTCTGAAGACGTTGTGAAATCTAGGTATGCCGCATGAACAACACATTATGAGGATGTTTTAGATGTTGATTGTTCTCCTCAAAACAGAGAATGAGAGGTGCTGAGCTCGGAGAAGCCGGACTTGATGAACCTCGAGAAGCAGAAGGCCCCGTCTTGTCTCTCCTTTCAACCCTTGTTTAGCTCCAGTCTAATACATCCCCCAAACTCCAAAACCCTGTTCCGTTCAAACATGTCGCTCTACATTAGCGCACGGCGTATGTCAAGAAGCTATTTTCCTGTCAAGACAGGAGGGCGATAATGCCGAGGTGGAGATTTGAGCTCTTGAAGCTGCACTGCAGCCCCACACGTAGCTAGCAAAGCTTAAGGCTTTAAGTTTTCCTGTTCCATGCAAGCTATAGCCGGGCCACTACGGCCTTGTAATAAACTGAATTGATGATTTTGGTTCTGCGGAACTGGCCACTGCCCAAGGGCATTGCTTGGCAAACCCATACCGAGCAGCACTGGCCGCGGCGGCGGGCAGACAGTGCCGTCGCGCGGTGCTCGGATATCTTCAGTGCAGCCCTCTACTGGGCATTGCGGCTCCCATGACAAACCCCGTGCGGCTTCTTCGCCTCAGGCGACCGCTTCCGTGGGTTCCTGTATAGACCCCGGCGCCGAGACCCCTTAACCTCACAAGCGGAGGAAAAAGGCAGCCATCGCCTGGTCTCCAACATCTACTGGGAACTCTCAGTTTAGAGGCCTCTCCTGATTTCATGATGCATGGGAGCTTTAGCCGGCAGTCCTGCGGCCTCTTATGAACCCAGCTGGGATGCCAGATTGTATGCGCGTCGGCCTCAGAAGTTCGTGGCAATCTCTGCTTCCTCGTATGTGCTCCTCGCAGGTTGTTGGTCTTGCGCGACTTGTGACTCTGCAGGAACTGCACCAAGCTCATGCGATGCTGACTTCTTCCGACCTCTTGCGGGTCCTTGTCGGGGTCTTAGATTTGAATGGGGAATCTAAGCGCACGACAGAAAGACTGGAGGAGGATTCAAAGCCAGTATCTCGCTGAAGTTGCTGTAGTACTACTTTTGGTGGCATTTTTTTCTAGGTTGGTAGTTGCAGCAAAACCTGTGGTTGTAGTTGTACTTGCAGCACAAGGACTGGTAGAAGCAGCTGCATCTCCAGGTAGCCCTAAACTCTGAACCCGAATCCTAAATGGAGGACAAGGCAACTCAAATTGTGAATGAGGGATCTAACTGAATCCAGTGCTTCGGCAGACGGAAAGTCCCCTGGCTTCAACAACAACCCTGAGCAGCATATGAGGGACAGTCTAAACTCCTAGTATCCCCCGTAGTAACTCTCATAATAGTCCCGTATTCATGCCCCTATATAACCCCCTTTAAGGAGTTTAGACCCTAAACCCTGTATAATCCCCTATATAACCCCGTTTCAGGAGTTTAGACTATAGTACATACGCAGCCTGTACGATGCTTATGTTGAGACAAAGGCCTCCCTTTCGGAGCACCCGCTGGTTCTGCATTCTGACTCCGCCACGTCCTGTGCTCAGCAGCAGGATGTTGGGCTTGGGCGTTTGGTTTTTGGGCTGGATGGCGGAAAGTTCTGTGGTATTGAAGATATATCTTATGCTACTATCCCTGCATCCCCGGTATCATATGCATATAGGGCAAGACCGTTTGTTGACGTGCTGCAGAGCTGGAAAGCAGAAACCCATGCTTACGTGCATGAGAAGATCAGTGCACGAGGACCCCGACTTGAAAAGTCATGGAATGTATGGAGGCCTGCACTGCTAGCATAGAATTTTGTGGAATCGAATACTGCTGCGATACAGGGATTCATGCACTCAGGCTTTTGCATTAGGTAGCATTAGGTTAGCAGTGCCCCGTTGTGGTTACATCAGTATTTGCAGGTTCAATCAAGTTGGTAACTACTTATGACGGAACTAGACTCGTATGGTTACCCCAGCAATAGGTAGGGCTGTAACCCCCCAAGTATGTTTTAGGAATTTGGTACCCCAACCCCTACAATCAGGAGCCTGTGAGAGAATAAGAGTCATATGGTAGTCGTAGGTCCAGTTGGTGAGGGTACTAAATTCCCTAAGCCCGAAACCCTAAACCTCAAACCGTGTATCAGACCCTCAACCCTAAACCCTAAACCCTAACCTTTGACCCGCATCTGAGAGCCTAGGAGCCTCTAAGTGGTGGGATGAAGGCTTTAGGCTTTAGGGGATTTAACCCTAAACCCTAAATCCTAAACCTTGGGGCTGAGGGTTTAGGGGATTAGGACCCATGGCACACCTACCACTATCATTGGCCATGGCAGCAATCATGACGGAAAAAACTTGGGTCACGCTTTTGTTTGGCTCCTGCAGGTCACATCTATCTGTATAGAACATTTTTCAAGATTGCCAAATATATACAAGATCATATCAAATTCTGGATTGCTGATGAAAATTGTTTTTCAAGAAAGGAAAGGACCCGTACCCCCGATCTCCCTCTTCCTTCACCTTCGACTCGAAGATTCCAAAGCTGGGGTTGAGCAGGGTTAAACAAACATAGTCGGTGTCTTATGGCCACCTCTTGGGTTAGGGTTGAAGGTTTTGGGGTTTAGGGTACGCTATGAACCCCCTCCCTCTATTCATGAACCAACCCCCCTCCCCCCCAGCAACAAAATTGTCAGCAAGCGATTCTGATATACCATTCAGGGAATATTCGTTATTAGGGGGCTTCTCATGATCGGGAGCAGGGATGTGCAATATAGGAGGTAGGTTTTTGCATGCTGAATTTCATGGTTGTCATAGTTTACTTCAGTATATGGTAGTTTTCCTAAATAGGGAGTCCCCACTATAGATCCAAAAAGGGAACCTTAATTTTAGAAAACTACCATAACCCTTAAACCCTAAACCCTATAGGGTTCCTTAGGAATGTCAGTGAGCGTGTATATCTGGTTTGGCCACTTGAGATTACCATGAATATGTAGGCTACCTTATATGCACTATAGTCTAAACTCCTTAAAGGGCCTTATATGGGGGATTATGTAGGGTTTAGGGTTCAGGGTCTAAACTCCTTAAAGGGGGTTATAGGGGACAACTTGAGGGCTTATTAAGGGAGAAACTAGGAGTCTAGACTATAGCTCATATGAGCTTAAAGAACGGAGAAGATACTAGCCAGTGGGGCTTCAGAAGGCCCTAAACCCTAAACCCGAAACCCTAAATCCGTCTTCTAGGACAGAAGAAGCCCAGGCCTTTTCTGACGGTGGCTGCGCAACGACTTGCAGCAGGGGCCCCATGAAAGTGTGAGTATAGGCTAAAATGAGCTATAGTCTAAACGCTTCAAAGGGGGTTATATAGGGGATTATATAGGGTTTGGGGTTCAGGGTTTAGTGTCTACACTCTTTAAACGGGGTTATATGGGGATTACATACGGAACTATTTCTAGGGCTTATTACAGGGGAGACCAGGAGTTTAGACTGTAGCTCACATGAGGGCTTGTGTACAACCTTCCCAAAAAGTCTGCAGCACTACCTGCCACTACCCTTCCCAAAAGCGAGTTAGGCACGTGCCCACGTCGTGTCCAGAAAGCAGCTGCGTGAAACGATTGGGAGCGCATGCTCTGCCTATGCTTTGTAATATGGTAGTTTCCTAAAATAGGGGGACCCCAGTATAGACCCGAAATCCTGAACCCTAAATTTTGAGAAACCACCGTATGCTTTTGCTGTGGGCCTTGCAACATCACACAAGCCGAGGTCGCCAATGCAGAGCCTGGCGATGCAAGCATCTCAGTTGCAAGAGGCTGATATTGGGGTTCTATAGGGGTTCTATAAGGGTTATGTAGGGGTTATGTAGGGGCTATATAGGGGTTATATTAGGATAATGGAAAAGAACATGGAAGCTACTAGTTAGGGTTTGTGATGGGCTTCTCCCCTCTTAAATGTATCGTTGTATAATCTAGTATATAGCCCCTTCTAGCCCCCGCCAATTTTCAGGGTATCCTAATTTGATATAACCCTATATTGATTCCATATCACCTTATATTCACCCCATATAACTCTACATTAACCCCATCGACCCTACATTTACCCGTATAACCCTATATTAATCCGTATAACCCATATATGGGTGGTTGTCAAAATCATAGTCCCTTGATAGTTCCCTACTATAATACGGCACCTAATTTTTAGGGTGCCCAAAAAGGCATCATAGCTTTGACAACCCCCCATATGTCTAAAGGCGGACTAGACAGGCGTCTGTCTCCCTGCCGGCATTCATCCGTCGCAGCGTCGATAATGACGATAATGAAGGGGCCTAAATAATTTCCAATATCCTATGCGTTTAGGGTTTAGGGTTTAGGGGCCTAAATAATTACCAATACGATGGTTCCATATTACTTGTATATTTACAGTATACGGTACCTCAAATGGACCTCAAATGATATTGGCAATTATTTAGGCACCTAAACCCTAT